CTAAATAAGGAATGATGTAGTACTTTAATTGAATATATTTGCTTTTAAATAGAATCCGCTGTTTGCATCCAAAAAATGTCATACACAACCGGAAGATACTAAATAAACTTTTGATCGATGATAGACCATCTCTTATTGGCTTCTACTACAGTTGAAATTTTGATAATAATGAATTAGATGAAACAGATGATCGCACATGTTTAGATCTTGATGATTTTGCAATGTTTAATTTCATGCTCTTATTAATATTACCGGCATTATCATCCATGAGAACAAAAGTATACATAAATATCGATCATATAATTGCTGTACAAATTGGTCAACAAATAACAAATAAACTCGAATGGATTTATAATCAATGGGTACAACCTGGTCTTCCTCATTTCTCATCTTGTTTTTTGAAAAACAATTCATAGAATGAGCTTCAACTAAAAAATAAATCGAACAAATTCTTTCATTTTGAAACAGATATATAACCTTATTATTTTGATAACAATTGGCATTGTAGAAAGGAGATAAGAAATGTTGTTTTTTTTGCATTTTAAATGTTATCTGTTATTGTTTGTATTTATTATTTATGATAAATCTTATACTGTTTAAATAATTCATCAGTCCCATTCATCTTGTCAGTTACCAGACAACTGTCCATTTAGATCGTAATATATGTATTTTTTCCAGTAGGTGTCTTTTAGTGGAACTATGACTCAAATCTTTCGGAAAACAATTTTTCTTGACTAATGGGATTTTTATATTGACAAGTTCCGATACAATTTATTTGTATGAAGAAGAAATAGGGAGAAGGGCACAACATGTAAGCTTCGTTATGTATTGGAGTAAATACAAACGTGTCTTTTTTTCTTGTCGATTTTGGTGAGAGAACGAGATGAAGCACTCATTTTGTTACGATAGATGTAGCATACAGCTGCTTGTTTTCACACATGATCGATTATGTTTGAAGAGAAGGAAAAAAATAATTCGGATTCATTAATACGTTTACGTAACGACACAAATGTAATAATCAAGATAATCAACATATTCTTAATAGATGATGAATTGCAAAGACTATAGTATACAACATATATGATCGTAATTTAGTCACATGAATTCAGTTTCATGATTGTCGATCATAGCTCTTGTATTTTGAGTTTAGCAACGAATTCTGGGTAAGTATTGTTTTTAAATAAATTTTATTACATATTTGGACTTTATCAGTTCGAAGAACAGTAACAGAACTGTCAGCCTGCTCGCATCTATTGCACTACATAAAAATCTCGTCAGATAAAAGGAACTAGTCTGACTACTTATGAACATCTAGATAGTGGCAGCATGATAATCAGCTTCGCCATCATTTTAGCCTCATTCTTGGCATGTAAGATAAAACATATTATTTATTTAGATGAGCCTGCAGATGTGGAATGAGCATGTCTATCGCCTCTTCGCATTTACTATCGATTGAATATCTTCAATGTGCATCGTGATCATATGTTTACACTCGAAATGACTTATTATTATTCAGTCTTCACCAAACTTGTCCATTTACTTCGTAACTAATCTGCGAATTGAATATAAGTTTTGCGTGTTGTAACAAGTGTTTTCATTTACTTTCGGTCGATATTGTTTTACTCTATAAAATGACTTAGGTTTTTGTCTCCCGTAAGCAACCGGACGCTTCAGAAAGATGGTCTACAAGACATCTCTGTTGCCTAAATTGATGAGCCATTGTCCTCCTGCATACAGCTATATACAGCTTCATTAGTTTTACTTAAATTTGATAAATTATCAATTCTCCAGAAAGTTCTGACAAATGAATCGAAATTGACTTTTTCGTTCTCAAATTTCTTCTGATGGTTGATCTAAGTATGAATCTCCGTCATTTTGATATTTTATTTTAGATAAACAAATGTCATCAGAACAAGAAATTCCAATAAAACAAAAATGTCTTCAATGGATCAAAGTTGGTGATAAGCCATTCCAGTTTACAGACTCAGCTCTCGTCACACAACCAAAAGATTTGGAACAAAATGATGTGTTGATACAAGTTTATTCAGCTGGTGTCAATCCTATTGATGGAAAAATGGCTGTAGGTTAGAGTAAAGATATAACTTTTATAAGATAAAGATAAAATTTATTTTTTCGATTTTTGACAATAGAAAATATAGCACACGTTAAATTACCAGCAGTTGTTGGTTACGATATCAGCGGAACAATTGTTGGGATTGGCAGTAGTGTTAAAGATTTTAAGATTGGTGACGATGTTCTTGGTTGTCTGACTTTTAAACGTGGTGGTGGATTTCAACAGTATTGTGTTACAGATGAAAGTGTTCTCATTAAAAAATCCCCTGGAGTTAGTCATGAACAAGCTGCTTCACTAGGAGTTGCATATCTTTCAGCGTTGGATGGTCTTCAACATGTAAGAAATCAAATACAAGGAAAATCTGTTTTTGTACCTGGTGGATCTGGAGGTGAGTGCATTAGCTTCAGCAGTTTTTCTCTATTATTGATTGAGGATGAATCTAGACGAGGAAGGATCTCCTCAAAAATATGTTTTCACACAACATACTGGTTATAAGTAACTAATAGTATACTCTAACCAAATATTGATGGTTATGTAGTTTTTGTGTAGGGCAGTCTGCTCTCATCAAAATAAGACGTTGTACAGGACAGCACTAAAAGTTGTTTGTTTATCTTGCTTAATGCTTTTCAGACTAGGAAACTTCTTCAGTATTTCTTTTGCTGCATTCGACTGTTGCAGCTGTGAGACATAGCGATCAGAAATTTTCAGCTCATATACTCAGATTAAATGAACTGATGAACTGTTTAGAGAAATCAGTTTAGGTCAAGGAACTGAGATAATCAAGGTTCATAACCTATCTATCTTTTATTGAGTTTCTGAAAAAATTACATAAAAGTTTTTTTTTTCGCAAATCAAACACTTTTTCTGTGAAAAAAAAAACATAAGTTATCGTAAGATTTTCAATTAAAAATAGTACATCTAATTAATTTTATTGTTTATCTTTGTTAAGTTTATTTTCTCTGTAGGAGTTGGTCATTTTATTGTACAAATTTGTAAAATCTTGGGTGCCTCACCATTAATTGCTTCTGCATCGAAAGAAGAAGGAATTAAATTACTGAAAGAAACTTACCATTGTGATCATGTTATCAATCATGCCAAAGAGGACGTGGTTGCCAAAATCCAAGAAATTACTGTTGGTCAAGGTGCACATATTGTCTTTGATTCCACATATATATCATCAAGTTTTGAGAAATCGATTCGTTCAACAGCCAATGGTGGTTCGTGGATTGTTTTAGGAAAATTCGTCCAAGAAGGTAGTGTAGAAGAACAAATGTGTCAACAACAGAATGTGAAATTGATACATGCTGACTTGGGAAAGTATTCAGCAAAACCTGAATTTGAAGCAAAACGTTCCGAATTTTTTTGACAAGGATTAAAAGAAGCTTGTGAATGGATATTACAAGGAAAATTAAAACCATATATTAATCAACAACCAACAATTGAAGAGCTAGAAACAGCAATTGAAAAATTGAGAAAAGGACAAAGTGGATTTGGAAAAGTTGTAGCTAAAATACATTAGTTAACAACTAGACGAGATTTTTAACAAGTCTTCAAAAATACTTTTTTTTTAATATTCAAGCTCACTGCCGTTAAACGAACTCATTTTCTAAAATTGAAAATTTCTTTTTTTTTTATCTGGCAGCCTAAATAAAATGAACTAACTGAATCTAGCGTTATCTTTTGCAAGATAGTGCAAGAATAGAAAAAGCTTAGAAGTTTTTATTTGTCTTTAAATAATATCGAGACTATTGGCGGTTACTTCTCGTCATGATCTGAATGTATCTAATTATCTGTAAAAATAATACAGAAATTAAAAAATTCATTGTACATTTTACTTTTTTGTTTCCATTGTTCATCAGTTTAGCATATTTTGCAGAAGTTTAATTTAAACAAACAGCTGGTTTGGAATTTTCAGACTAGTCCTGGCCATTAGTGAACCTTTCAAGGGTGTCTGGAAAATTTTTTTGTAATGTGAAGCTTGATTAATCTACGGTTTTTTTGCAATGTTGTACAGTATGCCACTATTTGATTTATTGTTCCGATGAACTAATCCAAATGCATTTTGATCAGTAAGTCTAGGTTTTTGATTACCTCTTCATATCTCCAGAAAATCAATTTCATAAGTAGTCGATCAGTAAATACTGTATTTATGGTCATCACCATCTATCTGTTACACATTATTTATTTATATTCAATTTAACAAAATCCTATTGGTTAGAAATATTCTACTGAAATTTTTAGTTATATCTTTCATGTATGAATTTTCCTTTTGAAATATTGATTTCATAATTATTGTGCAATTGTTGAGGAAAGAACCCGAATATGAGTCACTACTTATTACTATTATTATATTTAACTGCGGCGAATGAGCTTCATATTCTTTTGTATTATCGCCATAGACAAAGTGAATTACATAAGATATGTTACATACAGATGATAAGAGTAACTTGAATGATATTTGGATGAAAGTATCAGAAGGTATAGAACATATATATCGAATTGAAGAAATGTCGCATAAAGCATACATGAATCTTTACAGGTAAATACAATTGTATTCTTTATGATTTTTTTTTGTATTTATTTCATTTTCTAAACATTTTTTTTATAGTCACGTTTATAATTATTGTACAGCTATTCCAGCACAAAAATTTTCATTAAAACCGTCAACAGGAATAACACAAAAACTAGCCCACAATAATGAACAAAATACTGCACAAAATGGAGCAAATATTGTTGGTGGTGAATTGTATATTAGATTGAAAAATCATTTAAGAACTTATCTAGAAAAAATTTGTGAAGTAAGTTTATTTGCTTGACAGAATTTTAATAAAAAAAAATAACATTATAAGATTATAAAGATGTTCAAGTCAAATTTCTTTAATTATAAAAATAAAAGTCTATCCACTTTTTATTTTTGAATCTGAACAAATGACTTCTAAAGTAAAGTAATATATTTTTTTTTGAGTTCGCTCTCTTTATTGTTAACACCCTGAAATACTTACAAGTTATAGTGTACGCATTCACAACTGTTTGATTTTCACTACCATGAGTGATATAAGCATATCAAGAAGCACAATACATTTATAATACGTCACGCTGGGTAGAAAAAATGTGATAAAAAAAAAGAAAAAAATGAAGAACAAAGAATGGCATGAGAAAAAAAAACTAATAGTAAGAATAGAACGAGAAAAAAAGAAACCTTAAAAGCAGAAAGAGCACAACTCAAATGGTTACATGGTAGATTTCATGAAAATAAAAATTCAAGCCATTGAAGAAGCTGAGATTGATGTCTTTCATGCAAATGTCTAACTCGTTTCATTCGAAAAAAAAATATCTCAGATAATCATGTTTACTTTTATGAAATGCATCCCAGTAAAATACGTCGTTGTAAAAGGGCGAGGGACCTAAATCTGATTTCTCAATTCGTTCTAATCTTTTCTTTATATATCTTTTTACGTACTCTTCTAATGACTTTTCATTTGTTATTTGGAGAAGATCTGTTGCTCTGGCAAAGGGACACCGATGAACCATTCTTAATTCGTTTCTAAATTTTCTTGAAAGTAATTCTTTTTGAGTTTTTGGTAGGAATGGATATAGGAGAAATATCCATGCAAAATATGGAAAACTGTAAACAAAGAAACATCTTCGCAAGACTTCTTTTGAGAGAGTTTTACCATCTCTCATCCATCTTAATTTACTATACGTTCGTTGAACGTTTTCAAGGGTTTTATCAATCGTTGGTTTTAAGGATATCTTATTTGTTCACGTAAAACCCAAATATTTGAATTCTTTAACTACTTCTAGTCTTTTACCTTCCATATAGATATCAGCTACTGGATCTCGTACTTGTGAGTGGAAAATCTGTACGACTGTTTTGGACAAATTAACCAGTTGTTTCCATATCTTGAAATAATTTGCTAATTTATTACATATTTTTGTTCCTTCTTCTTCTTCTTCTAAAAACTGAACTATCGACTTAATTCCTCGACATATTGGTGGAGATATGAGTACATTGAGGTCATCAGCAAATATATGGCTAGAATGAGCATCTACACAAGCGATAAGATCGTAATGGTAGACAATGAATAGATATGGATTCAAACTACTGCCTTGAGGGAAACCAAGATGACTGTAAAATATTTTCGATTTATTCTCTCCAAAATTAACATCTGATCGAGATAAGTCTGTTATATCACAGAACATCCTGATAAAAAAAGTGAATGTCAATTGATTAATATTGATAAAATTTTGGTTGATTAATAGGTTAGAAAACAAAATATAAAATACATTCTTTTTTTGTGCCAAAAAAGTAAATAAAGAATGATTAATAATACGTTATTGAAAATGACGTGTCATTTCATATGTTGATGATTTTTTTTTCGAAATTCTTTACTGCTTACGTTATTCAAGCTTTTGTCTTGAAACCAACACAAAAATTAGATATTCAATACTCTCTTATGATAATTTTAAGAGAAGAGATACCACAAAAAAGATACATGCGATCTGAAGACTTTCCAAAATATAAACTGTATGAAAAACAATATCGAAGGATTTTTTCGTAATTATTATAATTCATAAGCTATAGCTAAGTAATTATATTTACAATATGAAAGAAATTTCATATAATCTCCGAATGTTCTCTTGTAAACATCAAAATTCTTTCTTGTATTGATGTCAATCATATGCTTAGATATATAGAATTATGTTATAGTGATGACAAAATAAACTATAATTTTCTACTATTGTTATTCGTTCATATAATTTTAACACGCCTTGAATTATATTTTTGGAACATTGAACTGTTCTCTTATTTCGAGTTTATATCGTACTCAAAAATAGACTTTCAAGATCTTATCCAAAATTAATAGCATTTCTTTCATCTGGTTTTCGTTGTCTCGTTCTCAATTCTCGACGATTCCATCGAGACTTATAACAACTAGTATATTATTTAGATAATTTCTTTATTTTTATAATTTTATATCTTATTATTATTTGTAATGAGAAATTTTTTATTTCTAGCAAGAACTTGATTTACAAGTAGACAGTGTACTTTGTTTCTATACGACAAATTGGAAAAATTATCTAGTTTCAAGTAAAGTAACAAATGGATTTTGTGATTATCTAAATAGAAATTGGATACCACAACAACGGTCCTTAGAAAGAAAAGATGTTTATGAAATTTTTATTGTAAGTTAATTAAATTATTTGTCTATTTAATTTAATTATAAAATTGAAAATAAATTTAGATGACAATGGAAATTTGGAAGTTAGTTTTTTTTCAAAAATTCAATAAACAAGTAACATTCGAATGTCTTCAATTAATTAAATCTGAACGACAAAATGAATTAATTAATAGTCGATTAATCAGTGAAGTTGTACAAAGTTATGGTAAAGATCGAATGACGAAAAAAAAAAAAACTTTTCTTTTTCATTAGAAAATCATTTGAAAATTTTTTAGTCCAACTTGGCTTGATCGAAAGTGCGTCCATAGAAGATAATAGTCATCAGATAATATCTCCGGCATTGACAATTTATAAAGATTACTTTGAAATACTATTTCTTCAAGATACAGAACAATTTTATCGTCTTGAAGCAACTACTTTTCTTGCTCATAATTCTGTAACTGAATATCTAAAAAAGGTTTTATTTTTTTTTTTCTTTATATAAAAGTGATAAAACATTTAACAGTGTTCATAATAGGTAGATCAACGTCTTGCTGAAGAAGTGTATCGAGTTCAATCATATCTACATTCATCAACATTAGGAATATTAATTAAAAAAGTCGAAGAAGTACTTATTCATGATCAACTTCAAGCAATCTATACTGAAGCACAAGTACTTTTACGTAATGAAAAAATTTCAGGTAGATAGATAAAAACTTAATTTAGAATATTTCGCATGATTCACAGTATTTTATCGAGCATGGAACGATATTTCTCCGAAAATTGGATTGATCTTCTCGAAGTTTGTGACAGTGTATTATTCAGATTTTCTCTTTCGGAAGGGCAATTTAAAACAGAGATGCCAACAGGCCACTTTTTTCCGGCCTGGCCTGACCTGACCTTTGTGCAGGCCAGGCTAAAAATCAAAGAGTGGCCTGCAGCCTGTCCTGGCCTGACATGCAGGCTAAACCAGTCCAATTGATACTTCTAATTTCGTAAACTCATTACATTCTATAACTCCACAGTTTAAGACTTCCTTGAAACTAAGAAGTCCTTCGTTCAACTTAACCAAAAGTTCAAAAGTATAGAAATTTAGAGCATCAGTTAATGATACTTTTATCAATAATATTATGTTGATATTTTCTGTGTTTTCGTAATTCATACATTCTTTCATTAAAATACAGTAATGACAATAATGAATATAAGCATATGATAAAACACTCACACTTGATGATACTGGAACAGTGAGATCATAAGAAGATAATAAAACATAACTATTATTAGTAAACGTCACTTAATTTAAATAGTTGTTCGTCAGAAAAACGGAAAAACACGAAAAAAACTTTGGATGTCAATT